TGATAACATTACTGTTTAGGAACATTGTTGTCTATGAATATAAAATATAACAAAATGATATAAAATCAAACAAAAAAACTTTGAAAATAGTACAAAAATTAAAAGAAATCATTGAATAGAATTATTTGTTCTTGCACTCGCTGTTGTTATGACATTTTGAATTGCAGAGAACTTCTTTGGACCGACAATTGCACTTTTTAGAAATACAATAACGCTTGCAATTGCACATAACAAATCCTTGTTTTGACCCTGACGCGAGAACTGAAGCTTGTCTCAAATTTAATAACGTGCTAGGGACTTCTGATAGTTTGATAAAATTGGAATCGGCAAACGTGAATTCATTTCTACTATAAAGTCTTTCTAGCTCTCCATTTTTTGTTCCCAACTTATACAAACCACATTCATTAACGCTTAAAACCGCAGGCAGCACATTTCTGGGAGCAAGTCTTCCCCTGTCAACATCTGGAACTTTAACTACGACGTTTTGACCTACCTCAACAGGAGGAAGTTTTTGGCAAGACAAAGATAACATTTTTGCAGCTTGTTTCTCCAATCCGGATTTAGCATCTTCACGTTGATCTCTGATTGCATCAGTTCTGTTGCAACGGCTACATACGACTTGATCTTCAGTTTCAATTCCACATTTTACATGTACCTTAAGACTACATTTTTGGCATGTTACGAGAATCCCACATTCTTCACAAATAGCACATAAATCTGTATTGTACAAATTGTCTTCTGTTTCATTATCTGGTCCAGTTGTTATCCCATCCAATATTCTTTCCAAATCTTCTTCTGTTTCCAATGATTCATATGTTTCCTTTTCCAGTGAAGAATCTGCTAATCCGATTCTTTGTTTCATGCCAAACATGGCTTCGTAAGGACTTTTCTTTATTCCTTCATGTAGTGAGCGATTTTTTTTGCTTTGAATAAACCTTAGACCCTCTGACCATTGTTTCGTATTATTATCTAACATCCATGCTACCAACATGTCTCGCACATCTTGATTAGATCTTTCCACAGATCCTTGACTTTGGGAATGACGAGGCTTTCCGTGCACAAGTTTCAAGCCTGGCCACATATCTACTAAGTTTTGAATTACGTGGTTAACAAATTCTCGTCCGTTGTCGCTTTGGAGATGACTAATCGCTTTGTGAGCATTTCAAGTTATCCAGAACGCGTCGTGGACGTTTTTCAAATGCACATATCGCGTTGTGGATAATAAAAACGTCCACACACCGGAAAAATATCTCATTTCGGTATTTGGATGATCAGCACCGTCCACAACGCGTTATGGGTGTTTTTTTCGCTCACTGAGCGATTTCGGTGTTTGGGCGTAACATAAACACTACTAAAATATGTCTACATGTACACATACACATGTACACTCCATAAACATACACATATA